CATGGAGTCAACTTCCGACAACGCATGCGGCTTTTCTGTCTGCTTGCTTGCGTCGTTGAACGACCTCTTGTACCGGACGTTCGTTTGGATCAGCTTTCGTTGATGGATGCCGATGCCAGTCCAATTCTTGCAAATGATGGAGCCTGCAGCAGCTTGGCCGCGATGCTGCCCCATGCTTCGGCAATGCTCTTTGCGTGCTTGAAGGGAAGGTCATTATTGACTTGGGTGAGTAGGCTAAGGTCGTCCGCATCACTCCACCATTTCCGCGCTAGGGAGTCTGCGTCAGGCTGCACCTCATCAGCCATGATGGCGACACGAAATGAGAATTTATGCGGATGCAGCGGATGAACCACTGGTTGAAAAATCGTGCAATTTTGGCATCGGCTGTAACAAGTTGTCACATGGGTTCCAAACTTATTAAATCTGAGAGGATAGTATAGAACCTGCGTTTGCGAAATCTGTCTAATATGCGTTGTTGGAGACGTATACAAAACTCAATACACTTCGATCCGAGTTGGTATAATGAAACCAAGTGAAAAACAATGGCACAATCTTTATGGACCAGAGTAGTAGTCGTTGTACCGTCTCACAGTCAGTCAAACTACCGGCCGCTATGTGCTGGGTGTTTGTACCACTCAAATGTAGGCGTAATGTCGTTGACGCACTTGATGCACGCAAACAAAGTTGCTACCGTGTCCTCCGATGCTGCGAATAGTTTCTTTTCTTGGACTTGTAGTGTTCCCCGCGGCTCCGACCGCGAGAACCCAACTCTTGAGCAAGCGCAATTGACACTGCATTAATAAACAGAGTTTAAGGGTTCACCTTTCTAACTACGGCCATTCATTCACCCCTCTACTACGTACACTCGCACGTAGTGAATACATCTGGCAACTTAGCCAGACCTCTCGCTCTACAGGTCAAAACACCCCAATGACAGAAGGTCAAATAAGCGCTCGTCCTTGGCTGCTCTGCTCACGGCAGAACACTCGTCGACGCCCGCCAATCCCTGTCGTGCCGTTTGTGCGGTGTTCCGTTTTTACGTGGCAAAGCTGGCCAGCGCCGCGCATCTAGCAACTTACGTACTTCAAGTAGCTGCTGGGAAAGGCGATTCATCGAAAATAAAAGGTTATTCATCATAGAGAGTACGTCTCAGAACCTACCCTACCAGTGATTAACGCTTTCACGATCTCCATGCAGTCGATGAGCTACTGTGTCTTGCATGCTGGCCGTTCGCGACGGAAGCGCTCTGGTGGTCGTCGTGCAACGGTCATATACATGTATGACGTTGACGGTGCATTGGGGAGGCTAAAGACATCTAGTGGTCATGCATCGCGCATGCGGCACGACAAGGGCGTGTTGTCCTTGCAGCACGCACACACCTTTCTATTGGCTTGTACTTTGCGCGATTGTTTTGGTCGTGTGCCCGTTCGACTTCGTGTGTGCACATGCCATTGCGATCGCGCCAATTGGAATTGAACAGGCCATGCCCCCATTCGATGGTCCCATGTGCCCTTTCCTAAAATTTGTTTGATCAGTAAGATACCCCCTCGTATTTGGTTGCACGAGATTGAATGCATACACGACGAAATTGCCCGTGGCGTTGGTCGCGCAGACCACGACATCAAACGGACACATGGGACCATCGAATGTGGACATGGCCTGTTAATCGAATTCCTGGCCCAATTGTTCATAGGCCCACATGAAGGTGAACGGGTACACGACCAATATCTGGCAAAGACCGAAGTCAACAGAACAGAGGAGTAGTTTCACAGTGCTTAAGTGTCAAGCGAACCCGCTAGACTGCTGGTTTCATCCTTCCTGCGAATGTGTTGGTCATGTGGAGCTACGACAGCCCTGCTTTGAATTACTCGCTTTTGAGTTTGAATAAATCACACCTCACATTTGTTGCGACTACATGCACAGGAAAACGATCCATCCAGCCAGAAACTAGGATATGAAGCAGCCAGCGGAAATCTGATTTCTTCCCAAGCCACAAAGAACTAAGTTTGGAGGTGTTGGAGCTGACCGTTTGATCAGCGGAGTGGGTGCCGAGAATGCCATGGCCGAAGCGCCCGTGGTCATTTCTTGGGACCCATGAACAATTGTCGAATTGTATCCCCATCATGTCTGACAGTATATTTCATTTCTGAGGGTCTGCGGATGGGGGAAGTACGTGGCCGTCCGCGCTTCTCGATCGAGCGACGCTGTTGGTGCTGCGCGCGATCTGTTGTACAATTGACAACTACTAGTAAACGACTTTTGCTTCCTTGCCGTCTGTGGTGCGTGCATGCGGCGAATACACTGTATTTGATTAGATATTGGATTTATGTAAGCAAAGGTATGCCACACCCAACCATCGCTGGCAACCTTTTAAACCGGCATTTTCAGTTTTGCGGGGTGGCGAACATGACTACGCTCGTAGGATTGCTGGTGGCTCTTGTTGTGGCGGTGGCTCAAGCCTGTACCGATACGGTGTGGGACCTCTACATTGGTGGTTCGGATTTTGGCCATCAATGGGTGGTTGCGATGCCAGTTTCCGGAAATCCGATCTCTTCTGGAGACTGCGTCAGGGCGGATTTGTACAAGGATGACATATCTCTGGGGGGATTCGCGGGGACCACCGTTCACAAAGTCCGGACCAAGCCGATGAACGAGTGTGTAGACCCGTCCTTGAAGAGACAAGGCCGAATTTGCTGTGCAGAGAGCGCGTTCAAGAGTGCCAAGGAACACGCCATTGTGTACAAGCCAAACTCGAAGGAAATTGAGCCCTACAACGCGGCTACAAACAACTGTCAGCATTTCGCCGCGCGCATGTCGGAGATTTTGCTCAAGTCGTTCGCTCATACACGACGGATGCTACGTGAAACGAATGGAAGGATGTTCGCTCGTGCTGGCGCTGCCGTCAAGGATGGGTTGGCGAAGGCTGGTGCAGCTGCGAAGAGTGGCCTGGCGAAAGCTGGTGCAGCTGCGAAGAAGGGGGCTCATGCGGTGGTAGGTGCGATTAAGCGACTGTTTGACATTGGAGCTACGGCCAAGAAAAACGGGTGGACTCCAGTGCGACTAACCAAGGGCGGTCAAGTTGCAGCTGGCGGGAAGGGTGGTCATGCTGCTGCTGCCGGGAAGGGTCGCCGACCTGGCAAGTGAGCATTGCAGCAAACTGAATAGCTCCTCTACGTTCATTAATACTCTGTGATTGCATGTGGAATGTGCCACTGCACGTTGGAACTGTGTGACGTCACCTTGACCAGTGGCGACTGTGGCATAACTTTACTAGCAGTGAACCGAGAAAAAACTCTCAAGCGTTGTACATCAATACATTTGCAGTCGTGAATTCACACACAAGTCCAGAAGCAAAATTGCTTCTTAGTCCATGATTGGATAAAATCCTTGAGAGTATTTCGTGATCTCTGATTGGTTCAAACTCAATGTCAGACCATGTTTGGACAAATATAAAATATGACATTGGAAGTCTCTGATTGGTTGATTTGAGACACTGTCACTTCATACATTGAAATGCCGTCCTTCCGCGTCGACGCCGTTACAAAGGTTCAGCTCATCGTATGAAAAAAGCACACTCAGCGCGATTGCAATTTGTGCGATCAAGGGCATATACCTCGTTCTACATCGCAAATGTGGATGAAGCAGTTCGAGAAGGCATTTTCCACTTCTGATGTCGAACTGGCATTTGCCATTATTTTCTTGAATAGAGACGTTTGGATGAATGTATGGGCATCACATTGTTTCTATATAAAAATAGTGTCGCACTATCCTGATGGGGATCCCATGCTGATCCTTCACCCCTCACACGCTTTGACAAGGTCAGCTAACCTTTAGTTATCTTACCGTAATCACCACGCCAAATGTCGCGAAGGTACAGTGAACTCCGGAAAAGCCGACATGGTATCATCCTGAAATGCATGGAGGCAGATTGAAATCAATTCTTTTTAATTGCTTGAGTCAGTCCAACTTGATTGGCTATAATCAGGAGAATTTCTGTTAGTCAATCACAGGTCCTATTGTATATACACTGCAATTGGTCAAAATCAATGAGTTCTGACATGGTATTGAAGTATACAGGTGGTTGAATTCTGAATAACAGATCGTGCTTTGGATGTGGTCGGTGTCTTTGGTGGTGTCAGCTTTTTCCTGGGTTCACTGTATCCTATGTCAGTGTTTGCTTGCAAAACAAGGGTACTGATCACTTCTATTGGTTGAGGATTCGGTCCATCCCCGTCCTGGTCAATAATAAAAATTGCATATATTCTATGTTGTGTTGGCCAATCAATGGTCTCATGTCAGAATTACTTCGAAGTAGATGGGTACCATCAACCATGAATTTATTCGCTCACTTACCACGGGTCAACTTGATGCATACAAACTACAAAATACTCGCGAGTACAACGCTTGCGAGTTTTTTCCCGGTTCACTGTACATCCCCATCGACCCCAACATTCAACATCCAAAGGATTGCCAATTCCACAGCAGTAGTACGAATGCGACCTCGAAGAATATCGCGTTTTCCTCGTGTACAATCGACTTGAAAAATACTCGACAAAGTGGTACTTGGATAAAATTGAGCATCCGATGAGCAATGCCGTTTCGGCGAAATATAAGAGAGGTTTTGCAACTTGTCCAGTCACGATCCAGTTGTCGATTTGTAAACACAAAATCCAGTTGGTGACAAAACAGGAGTTCGCCTGTGAAACTTTGTTCTGGAACCTGTGAGA